GATTAGAGGCATAGCAAAACTGCAATGTAATATAGACAGTCAAAAATTAGTTTTAACCATGTGCAGGGAGTGGAGGCATTACCCATCACATTACTGTATATTACATTTCCCAATGTCTAGGACTAGACTTGGTGTGCATCAAGGCACCAAACTCCTCAATTTGCATATCTGTATATGAACCAAAGTGCAGTTCATAGATTTTTGCAACTGATCATGGTGACTATCATATTTGTATCTTGATGTTACCCTAAACTCACTGAATGCTTATCTCTTATCACTGTGCTTTACTTTAGTTTGTTTCATCTTGTAGCTGATCATCTTTCTTACCCCTTTTTTTTTTTTTTCTGAATTTGTCATACAGATAGCTAGTTTTATAAAGACCCACATATTTAGCCGCAGGCGACCAATTGATGGTTGGAAATACATGATAGAGGAGATAGGACCAAATGCGAGGAAAGGTAAGGGCAGTGTTTCAAGGCTACCAAGTTTATCAGATCCAGCAACTCAACCGTTCAAGGAGGAAAGGACACAAATTGAAGGCAGTCTCAGCCCCCGAAGGGACAGGTAGCTTCAATCTTTTTGCTTTTTCTGGTATAGCATCGGTCTGTAATAGGCAGACCATGGGATTCACAAGGAATCGCCTCCTTGCAATCACCCCAAGAATTGAACCTTGGTCACCAAAATAGCGAGCGACCCCTTCCCAACCAAGCTACAACGCCTTTGCTCTTCGGTTTTTACATGCCTAGCAAATTTTGCTTTGCATTTGGAGAATCTCACTCATCCTTTCTTTCTATCATTTTTAAGGATTTGTGGCATCCAGATTTCTCTATGTAGCAGATTGATCTAATCTCAACTGCATGGAATTTGTGTACTGAAAGCCTACAATGTGTATAATACTCCACATAAATATTATTATTTATTACCATTTTAACATAACATCAACATTCCACTAGGAAATCTTCTCATCTTTTTTATGCTTTCGGCCCATGCTCTGCACTTTTTCTCGAGTGGCACTGTTTTTAATTTGGATGTCAATATTCAAAGGTCTTCTCAAAGATTTTAAGGGGAATGTTTGGTCAAGTGTTGTTTGGTGCTAGATTAGACCGTGAGAGAGATTTCATACAAATAATGATATAATCTTTAAAACCCTTTTAATTAAGGATATGATATTTTTTGCTTTACAAATTTCAAAGTTTTTAATCAAGATATAATTTTTGTAATTTTACTAAAGAAGAATTAAATGGATGTGAATATTGATGTGTCTTAAAAATTGCAAATGGTCTTATCCTAAACCTTTTTTTTTAAAATTTTTTAATTTTTTTGGGTTTAGAGCATATTTAAGTAACGTTGTGCATATCTCAAGAATAATTCCTCTTTAGTATGGTTAAAAGTGAGTTATCTATGTTAAAATTAGAGAATTAAAAAAATTACTTTCTTATAATCCTTATTTTGTAAAATTGTAAAGATCATATATTTGATTATTAACCAAAAAAAAAAAAGATCATATTCTTAATTAGAAAAATTTTGAAAGATAATGTTATTATTTGAATGATATCTTGACCTAGAGACTTTTACGTTGTAGGTCTCAATATTGAACCTCAGATGAGTAGGGATGAATATGGGCAAAGAAAATCATATAAACTGTTTGAGTAATTTTTGCATAAATATAAATTAAATAAAACATTAAAGCTTGTTTGGTTTAAAGAAAGTAGAGCATTGCGGAGGGGAGGGGAGGGGAGGGAAGGGAGGGAAGGGAAATGGTGAAAGCAGATTTTTTAGAAGCTGGAAGCATTTAAAAATTAATTTTTATTCAACTTCATAGTGAGTTCGTATTGGAGGATTTGGAAGGGAAAGAGAGAAGAATTAGGAGGAAATTGCTTGCTCTTTTATTTGAATTATTTTTTTAACGAGGGGAGAGAGGGAGATGGCTCCCC